ACTGAAGAGTCCTGTTTGATTCCGGTCAAGGGCATGTACCTTGGTTGCAGGCACATCCCCAGTGGGGAGTGTACAGGAGGCAGCTGATCGATGTTCTCTCTCATCGATGTTTCTAACTTTCTATCCCTCTCCCTTCCTCTCTGTAAAAATATCAATAAAATATTTTTTAAAAAGAAAAAAGAATAGGCTCGTCTAAGCACAGGACCATGTGTGACTCTGTAGGGTGAATGAATGCCCATGATGCCAACCCAGCCCTCCAAACTGTAAAACATCTAGATGAAAACATAGAACACCTCTGTTATCTTGGGTTATGCAAAGCTTTCTCAGATAGATACAATACCAAAAACGTAACCTACCCAAGAACAAATTGATAAACAAAACAAAAAACTGTTGCTCTCAGAAGATTCTTAAATGAATAAAAAAAAAAAAAACAAACAATCCACAGACTTCAGATAATGTTTGCCAAAAGTAATAATACACTTTAACATTGTTAACACACTTATGAGCCAGACACTGTTCTAAGAAATGTATATAAGTTCCTGTGTATGTATAAGAACACCTTCTAAAGGAGATACAATTTTTGTCCTCCTTTCATATATACAAAGAATTTTAAAATTCAGCTTCATGATTAAAAACAAACAAACTAGGAGCCAAAATCAGAGCCCAGGCTGCCTGACTTTTGCACCCATGCTTTTTGCATCTCCTAAGGTAAAAACAAATGACATCTCTTTCTTTCATTTTTCTGCCTTCATTTGTTTGAGGAGGGCTTTTGAAAAATCACCTATTTCTTATTTCAACAGACTACCTTTTAAAACTCCTAACATAGGCATTTTTGCTGGACACATCTGCCCAGCTATGTTCAATATATAACATTCCCTTTTCATAAGCCTTATCGAAGATGGGGCTAACCAAAAGGTTATCAGAGCTCCCGGGACTGGCATCAGCAATCCGAGGGTAGCACAAGTAAGTTAGTAGCGCTTCGTGCCAGATAAAGCAGCCTTGAGCTTGAATTGCCACATTGCCCAATTTTTTGGAGCAAGGGGACATTCCTGTTGCAGGAGACATAGTGGTTTCTTATGCCCAGAAAGAGTGCCTGTGCCTCCTCCAGTGGCCAATTACATCTAGAGAGAGACCAAGGCATGGGAACGCTGGTGCTTATCTGTGTGTTTGAGCCCACCCACTGTTTCACTGCCGGCCATGGAGAAAGAAGTATCAAGTCCTAAAAAGGCACTGGCGCTGAATAGCACAATATGCTTGGATACCCTCACTTCATGTAAACACAGGGCAATTGTGAATTCTGAGAGCCTGGGTGTTACAGTTCAGCAAGGGCCTGATTAGCCTCCAGAATGCATCCCAGAAAGGGCTGCAGACCTCTTTGTCTGGAGGAGGGGTGTACACATGACTCTGATCACCGGGGCTTCCTCGCAGTTCTATGAATATTTCATCCCAGCTTCCCATAGAGGAACATTCTGCTGGTCTCCAGCACTCTCGTGGCAAAGGGCTTTTGGCTAGCATCGCTTATTTTTACAAGTGCGAGTGAAGCGTTTTGATATAAGAGTCGTGGGAAACTAAATTTCCTTCTTTGCACGATAGAAATAATGCAGCTTGTGCGTTTTTGCCAAAAGCTGGTAATTGCCCAGTAAACTGTTTTTGAACTATCAGTGCAGAGTGTTCTTTGTGACTTCAGCTTTGACGTCATGTTAAGTGACTGCGCCTAAGAATCAAAAGTATACATTGTGGACTAAAAAGCACAGGGTCTTATTCTTGATTTCAGGGACTAAAAAGCACAGGGTCTTACTCTTGATTTCCATTGTATAACATTCTATGTGCCACTTTACTTTTTAATGTCTCTGTGCCTTCCAACCTTCAAAAATAATAATACAGTCTTAGTTGGGTTGGATCAGTGGATAGAGCATGGGCCTGTGGACTGAAGGGTCCCAGGTTCCATTCCAGTAAAGGGCACGTGCCTGGGTTGCAGGCTTGATCCCCAGTGTAGCATACGCAGGAGGCAGCAAATCAATGATTCTTTCTCATCATTGGAATTTCTCTCTCTCTCTCTCTCTCTCTCTCTCTCTCTCTCTCTCTCTCCCTCCCTCCCTCCCTCCCTCCCTCCCTCCCTCCCTCCCTCCCTCCCTTCTTCCCTTTCTCTTTTTTTATTTTTCTCTCTTCCTTCCTCTCTGAAATAAATTTAAAAATATTTTTTTTAAAAAAAGAACACTACAAGGGGTTTTGCCTAATCTGCTGGCAGGATTTGGGGATCACATTTTCCTGGGTGTTCTTGTTCCTGTGGCTGGGGAACTTTCCTTTGAATTTATCCCCACAGAAATTCAGCCCTTCTGATTTTAAGTCAGTCAGAGAGAGCAACTCCAACAAAACTGGAAACACAGGCACTTGGCACCTCTACCACACCCAGGGCATGTGCCTCTGAGATTTATTACATCCCACAAAGATGAATATGATTGTCTCTTTGTGTCAACTATTTAAAAGCTAAAATTTATTTTTAATCAAGTTAGGATATATAAAGTTCTGAAATGTGTTTCCTGGGCATATTAGTATAGTTAACTTTCTCCAAACAGAGATAAACCTTAGGTTTTAAATTTTGGAGCAGCTTTTAAACTCTAGGAAACAGAAAAATCAATGTAACGGCATGTCTGTACATATATCCATTTATTATCATCATCTGTGCAGATCTGTCTCCAAGATAATAGTTTACCCCCACTAGTGCTCTCTCAACAACTTTCTGTCTAAAATAACATTCTCTCTGCTTTTATACTAACATAAGAATATATAAAACGTTGCCTGTATTTAGAAAAGAAAGCCTTTCCTTTGGGCTTTATAATTCTGCTTTTCATGATAAGTGTGCATATAGACCATCTATATATGCATGTAAGTAAAAGAGAATGTCACTTGTTTGATACACAGTAATGTAAACTAGTAAGGATTAGGGGAGAAGAAGGTTGTAAAATCAGCATTAAATAGTCACTCCTCATTTCATCAGGAAAAAGGAATGCGCTCTGAGAAAATAGTAGTGCCATAGTCATAAGGTACCCCACGTGGCTAAACAACACCTGCCTGCTGCAGGGATGTCAGTTCTGGGAAAGGAGAGCAGGTTTCCTTACAGAGGGGTGGAGAACAAGAGAGGAAATCCACATCTGATTCAATTGCTTATGAACATGAAGGTGCCAATTCATATCATGCACAGGAATGAAAATAACTCTTGAGTTAATTCACCGCTTAGCTTGTCTAAAGATGGGAGGTATGCAGGGTGAAGGCACTCAAAATTCTTGTCTCCACTGACTGCGGGTTTGTATGCTAATTTCTCATCGGAAGGGCTCAATTTTTTTCTTTAAGAGTTCACACAGGTCCTATCAAAGTTCATTGTGCAATTTTGTTCTGAACCCTTGAAGGACAGTTTTTATCTTATTTTATTAGAAATCTAACAGAACCGTCCTTAATTAGCAGACTTTTCTGCAGAGTGAGGCCCAAGCAGGACTCCAGGGACTGGTAGTGTGAATTTTAATGCTTTGTTGTAAAAGGAAGAGACTCTAGATATTCGCAGCATCTTATTTAAGGCGGGATACGCTGACATACTACGTGAAACGGTGCATTGATGGCCTACATTAAGTTACAGATATGAATGTTACATAAAAACGGATTGATATTATATGTCATGGTAGAATTTTAAATACTCCCTGCCCATGCATTTTTAATATTCATATGTTCTAATTTCATGCTCAAAAGCAATTGCATTTCTTGAAGCCCACTTTTGTGTTTAGATAGGCAAAGAAAAACCCTACGACGGATTTTTCCCCCCTTTTATTTATATTCCCTTTCAGCACAAATCTGCATTCGGCATTTCTTTCCGTTTTTGCCCCTTAAGCATTAAACCTTTTCTAAAAGGAAAACGGAAAGGCTACGCATTCCATTCCATCATTATGGTTTCGGCAATTTTGAAAAGGCAAATAATGAAACGGCGAGGGGGAAAAAAACACAGCACAGAAGGAACGTGCCTTCTTGAAAAGCGTCCTTCTCAAGGCGTTGGAATCCCAGGTATGGAGTGAGGATGGGTGGCGGCTGGAGGGTCCCTACGCACCGCGCTATTCAGGGCGGCAGGCTCTCCTCGCCTCGCGCGCGGGGCTCGGCGCTCCTTCAGCAGCCAGAGCCGAGGGAGAAAGCATTCCAGCCGCGCATTCCCGCAGTTCTTCGCAGGAACTTCTCCCTCTGTCCCCTCCCTGGGGCGCACACACCAGCCTGGCCCGGCTCCCACCCAGCTCTTTTCTCATGGAGCCCCGACCTACGGCGTTGACGGAATGGAGTGCCCTTCCCATTGGCCGGAGCGCCATTCCCTGAGGTGGCACCGTCTGTCTGATTGGCTGGACACTCCCGACCCCCCGCCTACCCCTCCGCTCGGGCTGCCCGGCTCCCCCGCCCCCGGAGCGCCGCCCCGAGCCTCCGCCCTCTCCGGCTCCCTCCGCGCTCCCAGCCCCGCTCCGCTCCGCTCGGCGGGCGCGGGGACCCGGCCCGCGCGCTGGCCCCGCCCCCGGGGCGCCAGGCTCCATAAATACAGCCGCGCGCCGGGCCGGGCGAGAGCTGGGAGGAGGCGCGGTTGTGAGTCAGTCCCGGGAGCGGGGAAACCTCGGGCGTGGGGGGAGCGCGGCGGCGGCGGCGGCGGCGCCTGGGCTGCACTCGGAGCTCCTCCGAAGGGAGTGACTAGGGACCCGGTTAGGCTTCTTTCCCGCCGGGGCTTTTTGATATTTCTTGGCTTTTGGTCCCGCCGGCCGAGTGTCGCCCACTGAGCAGAGATCCCTTCGCCAAACCCGGAGCGACCCTCCAGTCAATTGTTGGGCTCCGGATCTTTAATCAGATCTTGGCGGTGCCCAGAGCGCGCCGGCCGCCGAAGCGCGGGGAGTGGTGTCGGCCGCGCGCGGGGGCCCAGCGCTCGCCTCCCTCGCTCGCTTCGCCCTAGCGGGTCCGCTCGCCCCGGGCGCAGGGCGCGCGCCATGAAGGCGGTGAGCCCCGTGCGCCCCTCGGGCCGCAAGGCGCCGTCGGGCTGCGGCGGCGGGGAGCTGGCGCTGCGCTGCCTGGCGGAGCACGGCCACAGCCTGGGCGGCTCGGCGGCGGCGGCGGCGGCCGCGGCTGCCGCTCGCTGCAAAGCTGCCGAGGCGGCGGCCGACGAGCCGGCGCTGTGCCTGCAGTGCGATATGAACGACTGCTACAGCCGCCTGCGGAGGCTGGTGCCCACCATCCCGCCCAACAAGAAAGTCAGCAAAGTGGAGATCCTGCAGCACGTTATCGACTACATCCTGGACCTGCAGCTGGCGCTGGAGACGCACCCGGCTCTGCTGAGGCAGCCGCCGCCGCCCGCGCCGCCGCACCCCCAGGCCGGGACCTGTCCGGCCGCGCCGCCGCGGACCCCGCTCACCGCGCTCAACACCGATCCGGTGAGAGCACGTCGCGGGGGGCCAGGAGGGTGGTGACCTGCCGCAGGAGCCCCACTTCCTTCGGGCCCGGGTGGCCGGGAAGGACCGCACTCCCACCCCTCTTCCCCGGGCCCGCCAGTCTCTGGCTGTGGGCACGGAAGGCACGGGTCCGGGTGGACGCGCGGGGCGGGACAGGGCGCTTCCCGGGCTGTCAAGTCCAGCCTGTTTGCCCGGGGTGAGAAGGTTGGGGCGGGGGTGAGGGGGTGTCCCCAGGGCTGCAGGCTAGGGTGGGGGCACTCCCGTGCCTCCCCGATTTCCCAGGGCGAATCGAGGGCAGCGGCGAGTGCGGGCGCGCCCGCTAACCTCCCCGGTGTGCGTTGCTGTTGCAGGCCGGCGCGGCGAACAAGCAGGGCGACAGCATTCTGTGCCGCTGAGCGCGGGCCAGGTGAGCGCGCCTTCCCTTTCCCAGGGCCCGGGCCCCGAGACGCCGTCCTTGGGGGCTCCCCGGTGCCAGGCACCATCGTGCTCTTTGCTCTCCCCGCCTCCCTCCCCCCCAGTATTTCTGAGGGCAAACTCCCAAGAAGGCGGACAGCCCCCTCTCTCCCCCTGCCAGCCGCTTAGCAACTGAATGTGTACTTCGCTTTAGGGCTTCACTCTAAATGGGAACGGATCCGCTCCTGTCCCTGCCTCCCCGGCCTCCCCCAGTGACCCGAGGGTACTCAATGCCTTCTTAGGGGGGCGTGAGCACTGCCCGATTGCTTCCCCCCTCCCATCCTCCCCCTCCGTGCACCCTGACAACCACAGAGCGGGGGACGCCAGCATCGCCCGGGAGCCGGTCCCCTCTCCTCTCCGGGCTGCCCGGGGCCCGCCGCTGCCTGCCCGGCGCCCGGCCGGCCGCGGGCTGCGGGGGCTGTCTGACCTGCCGGTTTGTTTTGGGTTGTTGATCAAGCATGTCTTGAGTTCGGTCGGTGGCGCCAGCCAGTCTGCAGCGGGAAGGTTCCCACACCCCCTCTATTCATTCCTCCTCCACAGGTGTGCGGCCACCGCAGCCCGAGCCAGCAGGCTGGAGAGGGAGGGGGAAGAGCAGAAGTGAGAGAGAGAGGCACCGGAGGAAAGGAGAAAACATCGGCAAATCCCAGGAACGTTTTCACCCGTCATTCCAAGAGAGAGGGAAGGGAAAGAAAAAATTTTAAAAAACTTTCATCTTTTTTTTTTTTTGCACGTTCATAAATATTCTACATCCCGTATTCTCTTTTGTCTTTTCATTTATAACCGCTGTGAATTGTACATTTCTGTGTTTTTGGGTTTGTTTTGTGTTCTTTTTTTTGAGGTGCAGTTAAACTTTGAAGCTTAAGTGTAACAAAACTGATAAATAGAAAGGCAAGAGTAAATAGGACTTTAGAAGCCTACTTGTGACCAAGGAGCTCAATTTTTTTGTTTTGAAGCTTTACTAATATACCAGAGCATTGTAGATATATTTTTTTTTTTACATCTATTGTTTAAAATAGATGATTAAAACGGGGCAGGGATCTTTCCCTTTTTTCCCTGCAAGAATGTTACATATTGTATAGATAACTGAGTGACATTTCATACCGTGTATATATATAGAGATGTTCTATAAGTGTGAGAAAGTATATGCTTTAATAGACTACTGTAATTATAAGATATTTTTAATTAAATATTTTTTTGTAAATATTATGTGTGTCTTTTTTAAATCTATGGGAATATTTCTTTTGGAAAATTATTTTTCAGCTCAATTGCAGAGCTCTTGATATTTTGAATGTCTTTTCTGTTTGGCTTGGCTTTTAATTTGTTTTTGTTTTGCGAAGTACCATGTAGAATCGGAAGTAACAGTTACAGGTAGTGGTGCTGCATGACTGCATGAAATGTTTAATCACAAAATAAAACTTGTTCCGAGTCCATTCAAATGCCTTTTCTTTAACCTACATTGAAATCTTCGTGTTTAAAGCATACATATTGGAAAGAGAGTGTTATCAGTTTTAAGTACGGGGCTTGATGGTGTAATATAATATATAGAGTCAGTGTTTGTTATTTGTGTTTTGATTGAGGTCAACATGGATTCTGAATGATTGTGCATATGGGATAGAGAAATGCTTGGATCCTTAGGAATTTATGAAATCTGTTTCATCAAAGGGGGGGGGGGGGAGCTTATCATTCTTCATTTTACACTAAAGTTTCATGTTTGTACAGATTATTTAAATCATAGAAATGAAAAATGTTCTCTGCTTGCTACCAAAGGACAACCTCTTGGAAATGAACACTTTCTGCTTTCCTTCCTCCAAAGAATATTAATAGGCAACAGTGAGAGAAAAAAATAAAAAGGCATAATGGCAAACCCTTCAAGCAGGGATAAAAGTCGATCTTCAAACATTAACTTAAGTAGACCAAAAATTGATGACCACCTCTAGATTATTTTTTTATAAAAATGATTTTCACTATAGCTATGTTAGTTACCGGTAAACTGTCCTATCTCTTGTGATGTGCAACTTTTACATGTGAATATTAAAGTAGATTTATCTGTCTTGTACTGTGATTTCTGGTCTCATTTCTTCAAAACCTTGTAAGACTTTCTTTTCTAAGGTAATAATTTCTAGGTTAGATGGGACTGTCGGGGCCTGTGAACATTGTGCATTTAATGTGATCAGTACTTTACACACCAGTTACAAGGAATTTTTAGAGTGAGAATTAAGTAGGATTTAATTGGGTGCTTTGTAAATAGTCAACTGTGTGTGTAACGTGGTCTGTTTGGTTTTTAAAAGGAAAGGATTTGTTTCAGATTATACAAGAATAAAAGTATTATAGACCCAAGGGACTTTTTATGAGGTCAAAGTCAAATACCCGTTTGAATATGAAATATCATGGTGCCTAGTAAGTGGGAATGGTAGTGTCTCAACAGAAATGAAGAAAGTTGATGCTAGTCAGTTAAAATAAATGGAAAGGTGATAAAAATCTGCTCTCTCCCCAGCATGCTATCCCCTCAGCTTTGACAATTCACTAGTCTTTAGCATTTTTAGAATTTGATGTGTTTGATGTTGAGCCTTATAAGTCAAAGGACTGCTTGTTTAGATGAGGCTCGTTTTTATTTTTTACGCTGTTTTTGTCACACACCAAGAGGAAAACAACGTTGCTGGAATTCCAAACCTGAAGAATTCCAAGGACTGTGTTCTTGGTTATTAAAAGGGAGACAATTCCTCCTTTTGGTTTGGCAGTTTAATTCCAGTAGGAAGCGAGTCACATGTGTGCTGTTGGTTGGAGTTCAGCATCTGTCAGCCTGATTGCTGAACCTACCTAAGCCTTTGGGCTCATTGTAAACTTATGCTAGGAAGATCATGAGGCTCAGAGCCAATGGATGAACATGTTTGGTTTTTGAAGGAAAGTGTTGCTCTTTCATTAATTTTATATTTGGGGCATGAAAAACTGCTAAAAGGGAAGAAAATGTTATAGATACCACATTTTACACAGTTGGCATTTTCTCGTTAGCATTGGATGTCCAAAGAAAGTCAGTGTTTATTTTTAAGAAATTATATGCAGCTGTATAACTTACTACATTCTATTAAAATGTTGGCTGTGTCCTAACCAAGCAACAAGATAACAAAAACATTTTGAGTCATTTATCTAGCAATTTCTAATTGTTCAGAGTTGGTTGAACAGAGGAAAATATCCTGACTTCTCTCATTTCATTTGTCTACTTTTCATTGTATAGGCACAACCAAAGAGTAAGAATCATTTAAAACCTTCAACGGAAAAAGAAAAGAAAAAAAGTGTCCCACAATGGGATGTTTCCAATGTGATTATAGAAACCTAAACATCTCAGATACCTGATGTTAAAGAAAAAAACAAATACGCCCTTTTTGTTTCAAAGAACTAATATACTTTGATATTGTGTAAATATTACTGAAGGTCATTGTCAAGCTTTAACTGAACTTTTAGAACTTTAAAACATTTTGACACCCCCCCCCAATCTATTGTATTAAATGCCTTCTATAATAATAAATCTTCACTGAGCAAAGGCTTCTGAAGTTTGTGGTTTTTAATTGACTTCTACTGAGTTATGCAATTTTTCATTATCAAGAATGGGGCTCTTGATGGATCACCTCAATTATTTACAGTGTTTCTTACCATGTGATGAAAAATGTGGCTTAAAAAATGGTAATATGAGCAGAAAGAAAAATCTACTTTGAATGCTAGGGAAAGCTTGTGGACTCCGTGGAGTCTACTAGGATAGGAAGCAGTAATCCCAAAGAAGGCAGCAGGGTGATGTCCAGGGAAACTAGACTACCCCCAAAACACACGCACACGCACACACGGTAAATACAGTAATGCAGACATAAATGATTTCACAGTAGCACAGAACCAAATAGAACAGGTTCTGCCCTAGCTGGCATTCTTTAATTATATACATGTTAATCAGCCTGGATAGTCCTTGGATCTCCACAGGGCCAAACATCAAACCTTCTAGGCTTATAAGGAAGAAAAACCTTCCTTTTGCTGCTTTGCAAGTCCAGGAAATTAATTTAGCTTCCTCAGAATTATTCTTAATAGGGCTGCCCTCAGTAGGTATTCTTTAGACCCAGATGATTTCTTTCAATTACAACCCATGATATTTTGCTAAGATATTAATTATATTAATTAGAACAATTGCCCCAAAGGCTTTAGGGTTGCAGTTTTAGTTAGAGTTCTATTTTGAGCAATAAAAATCATTACTTTAAAAAGGAAAACATAAAAAAGGGGGACAAACTAAAGTCATACGCCCTTAATTGAAAAATGCTCTCAATTTTTCAATGAATTTTTAAAAGTGTGTTTTGTGTTCAGGTGCCTCCTTCATATTGATTCATAACCTGGCTTGTTCTTAAAAGTTTCCCCTAAGTGCTAAAACTCAGGTCCGAACCACATTGCAAAGGTTTTCTATACTCACCCAAGCAAAGCAATTCGGTAGGAAGGCGGCTGAAATTCCATCATTCGTAAGACTCCACGTAAATTCACACGTGGGATATGAAAAGAGGGCCGTAAAAATTGAAGTTAATTTCAAAAGTCCCTCTGAGTCCATAAAAGAATAAACACACCATTTTCTGGGGAAAGAAGAACAAAATGTGTTACCTGGATTCCACTGGCTAAAATCTGACTAAGGAGGAACTGAACTTTAAAATGTTTATAAAGAGACTCAAGATAAATTCTCTTTGTGAATCCACCCACATTTTTTCCCCAATAAGAAATCTCATACTTTAGAAAAGTATCTTCTAAGAAATTACATTAAATATTGGCAAAATATGCAAATTATTGGTGAACCAAGACACTATATTTGCTTTAAATTACTGTTCTCAATTCTTTATGATAGAAAGTGCATTTCAGCACTTTCAGCATGCATATTCAAATTTAAAAATCTTATCTTTTATTCCAAAGTTTAATTTCCAAA